ACAGGTGTGCCACATCAGGATGCTGATCTGACATCATGAGTAGTGCACAGGTGTACCTCAGACTGCCCACAACAAAAGGCCACCCTGGAATGTGCGGTTTTTTGCGCTATTGGGGGTCTGGGGACCCAGAACCGGTCAGTATCTGGTGTGAACACCATTTGCCTCATGCAGTGCAACACATCGTCGCTAAACTCCAGAGAAAACCCACACAGGCACACTGAGCACACTTAAACTCTACATTGAAATGCCCCAGTTGACCAGATAGCATCCTTTCTGTGGGACAGCAGTGCCAACCACCGCACCACAGAGCAGCCTTTTCAAGCCATTATTAGTTTGACTTACATGTTTTTGTTTCCGATGCATGCTACATGCTGGTTCTTGCTAATTAACCTGAAATATACTCTCAAGTTATAATCCTAAATTGAGAATCATAAACAGTTTGGACTTTGGAAGGTGGGGATTGAGAGCATGTGATTTTTATGTCATATTTTTCACTTTCCGTTGTCTGGATTACTCACAGCATGTGCAGAATCACATGCTTGGCGCAGTCAATGAAACCTCGCCCCCCTATTTTTTAACTTTGGCTCATCCAAAGATGTGACGTACTTTCTTACTCCTTGAATGCAGGAAGTGACACCTTTCACTTCAGACTGAAACCAGCTACAGACGCTTATAAAAAAATGAACCAAGAAATTCTCTTGAGTCTCCCATATTTACGTTACCTTAAGTCTGGAACAGGAACCATTTCTAAACTGACGTTCACAGACAATAAAAAAGGGCAATTTCTCACCAGTTAAATGGTGTTAGAATTTAAATCATGCACAGTACAGAAGAGTACAGAGAATTAGCATTGAAAAAGAAGAACAAAGTTTTTCAGTCATGCAGAATCCACGATGCAAACGCAATCTCACGGATATTAAGAAAATGTTGTTCTTAGTCACATGCTTTGACACTGATGATACCCAGCCTGCAGCAACATTACATTCATGCTTGTAAATGACACATGTATATAAATAACACTAAAAGGAAAGCGCTTGAGTTTAGGCTTTGAAATTCTAATTTGTGGCTTTAACCACAGTGCTTATCTGATAAAGATTATATAATCGACACCAACATTGGCAAAAAAAAAGCAGTTTGCAGCTGTTTTAAAGCTACAAAAAGTGTAAGATTTATTTTTAAATGTGGACAAAATGGCCTCTAATAACTACTTTATAGTGAGCAGAGGGTACTGCAGAGGTAGACGGGGTCAGACTGACAGTGGAGGCCTTCATGGAGTATGTGGCACCTGTAGGACGTTGTGGTTTCATAGGTACTAAAAGTTGACGTGCCTTGCTGCAAAATCTGGCACAGACACACAAGCACATACTCACAAACATCCCACCTTAGATAACACATCGCCCACCGGCCACCATGTGACACATTCAGAGCACCCCGTTGCCTCTTTGGGGGAATAAACATGGAAGTGTGATTGTATGTGAAATTGTATACTGTATGAGGGGCAGATATAACAGAGGTAGGGAAACTGAGCCCCCCCCCCCAATAAAAAAGTGTACTTGAAGTTGGACAGATGTGTGGGCTACGTCTTTGACTTTTAAATCAAGTTAGACAAGGTCGCCCTCTAGTGGCAGAACAGTAAACCTCTGTTTCGCACTTAGCAGCCAGCTGGCCTGATGATATCTTATTTCTGCCACGCTGTAGTTGAATAAATAAATCCTTAAAATATTCTAAAATGAAGTTGAGCAATGAGTAAAATAATTTCTTGTTAGTGGTCCAGTGCTTTTATTGTAAAATATACAAGAAAAGGACATTGTTTCCGCCAGATAAGCCTGTATAACAATCTTGTTTGGTATAACAGTCAATGTTTTCAGTCAAATTATTTGCTTTAATAACAGCGGGGTCACTGATAACACTGAAAATATATAGTGAGCTACTTGGAATTTTTTTCCTGTCATTGTTACTGTGGAAACTAAACAAAAATCGTTAGATGCTTCACCTCAGGAAGAAACATAAATAAACCAAAAACATAAACAAACAAAAAAAAGAAGATTAAAAACAGTATTATAAAAAGACAAGAAAAAAACGAGAAAAAACCCCCAGAAAAATTAGCAGAAGACATTGTTTTTGTTTTCATAACATATGCAAGTCACATGTAAAGACAGTTTTAATAATAATAACAATTTATGTAGTCCTGTGAAAAACTGCGTACATCCTTACTGCTTCCACTGGAATTAAGAGGGTAAGTAGCAGTGAGGTGCTGGTAATCAAATGTATTTGATTAACTGATCAGCTAATTAAGTATGAGCACCTCTATAAAAACAGAAGATCTGAAGCTTTTTTTTTTGCAAATTATGCCACAGTTTTTTACATGGTTGACTCTACATTCCCTTACCTCAGATTGAAACTGAAAAAATCTAAGAGCTACCCCACAGACTCTACAGGCCTCAGTTAGCATGCTAAATGCTCAACACAGTTCAGGAAGAAGACTGAACGTGTATGGCTTGATTGGAGGGGTTTCTGGGACAGTGCCTCTTCTCACTAAAAAGGACATGGCAACATGGTTTAGGTTTGCAAAGTTGCATCTGAAAGAACCACGAGATATCTGGAACAATGTCCTTTGGACAAATAAGAGCAAAGTACAGATGTTTTGTTATAATGCATAGCTCCAAGTTTGCAAAAATCAAACTCAGTATATCAGCACAAACACCCCCAGCACGGTGGTGGAGAGGTGATGATTTGGGGTTATTCCTGTTGCCACAGGACTTGGGCGCCCTGAGCTGACCTCCTCTATAGACCAAAGTGTTTTAGACTTAGATGTGAGGCTGTCTGTCTGAGAGCTAAAGCCTGGCACAGCCAGGAAAATGATCCTAAGCACAGCAGCAAATCTAAATCAGAATGGCTGAAAAAGAAAACAAATGCCTGCAAATGTAAACGAACTGAAGCAACGTTGTACAGAAGACTGAGCAAAAATTCCTCCATAATGATACGAGAGACAGAAAAAGCCAAACACACCAATTCAAGTTGTTGTTGCTTAAGGTGGTTCCACAGACTACTGAATCATACTGTCTGCTTAGCTTTTCCCAGGACTGCATAGAGTCTTATGAAAAAGACTGTAGATGTTGAAAATAGTGTGATTATTTTAGGCATCCATTGTGTTGTAATACCTGACTTGTACTTAAAGAACTGCATGGCGACACTCCTTCAGCTGCTCCACTTTCCTTCCACGGCCCAAAGAAATGCTTGTTTAGGTTATTTGGCATATGGTTGTTCGTCTCCCAGACTGGATAGAGTGGAAAGTGGATGGATGCACCTATTTCATAGCAGCCGTTTTGAAACAAAATAATAGGAAACCAATGATGTTAGTTTATACGTGGTAATTGAATTCAAAATGAAACTAAAATCCAGTTTAAGCTTAAAAGCATACAAACTGTAAGGGTTAACTCAATGCACACTTTCAGGTTTTTTTTGGTGTGAAAATTGACTCACAAGTGAGTCATTTAAATAATATTCGAAAAAAAAAACAAATTTTAAACTGGTTAAAGCTATTTTAATCTTAAAATATTTGCATTGGTTAGTCACAGATTTATTCTTTTGTTCTTTTTTTTTTCCAAAGAAGGAGATGCCGTTATACCACTCACAGGTTCTGAAAGTAAAACAGTACAGTCACAGCAGTGGGCTGTGGAGGAAATGAGTTTCAGTATGTAACACCCACGGTCCCCATACATCACTGCCAAACAATCTCAAAAGAATCCAAGCTAGTATGAGGGTATCACTTCATACTATTGTGATATTCAGCAAAATCAATTAAAAGAAGCAGTGAAAAGACAGCAGATAAAGTTTTTTATTTATTTAACCCAGTGCCGATCCACATTAGCTTAAGATTTATCTTGCAGCACAAGTGCAGGACACTATTTAACAGATTTATTGATACAAAAAAGGAAAAACACTGTAAAAGCAACACAATCAGCTTGTTAGCTTCTTATCATCAAAGACATTTATTAATATTTAAACCTTCAAACTGTGTTTATATATAAAGATAACAGACTTCACTGTAGCATTATACTCTGAGTTTCTAAAATAAACCAATAACTGCCCATGCAGGCCAATAAACCTAGCACTGGTGCTCCCTACAGTTTAACTCTGTAAATTATAATACTGTACAGCAATGGCAGCAAATGCAAACACACACATAGACATAGATGCACTCTGTGTTTCTTTTGAACTCAGATTACTCACCCAGACACATAGAAAGACACACAAACGCCTTCTATCTCTCAGACAGTTATGCAAACAGTAATTCTCAGGATTCATGTGCACAGAAATCGTTTGGGCGGTGTTAACCACAGAGCACACAAAGGTTACAGGTCGACCACCCGTCTCTGTCCTGCAGGCAGCAGCTAAAAATAACAAACTTTTCATTCTTTTCCACCACAAACCATCCTTCAGGGTGACTCACACGGGCCGGTTTACTAAAAGTCAGATTTTTTTTACTTTCCCGTAACTTGCAAGTTCACAATTGGTGCCGTTTTAGCCATCGTTCTTCTCTACATCACAACCACAAATGGAGGGATGTCAGGTGAAGCAACAGCTTCGCAGTGGTGATATTGGTGTCCCACAGCAATCAGGCAAAGAGCAAGTGATGTGGCTTGAAATGTTCAGCCACCTTAAAAGGTTCAGAAACAAAGTATTTTCACAATTACAAAGTCCAAACGGTTTTGGTGGTTTCGGTTTTTCTGTGTCACGTTTGTTTGTGCCTCTGGTCTTCCAATTCTGAAGAGATTTTCAGTTAATATCTGATGACACCTACATATATGTGACATCAACATTTTTTCTAGTTTAGTGATCTATATAAGGGTTTTATA